AGGATTTGAGGTTGGGTGAGTTGCCTAAAGGCCTGTTGCTGCCAAGTGCCGGAGGAGACCAGCCTTTTCCAGGGATCCAATTCCTGCTGCTCCTTCTGTTTGACATTCTTTAGCAGCCACATCCTGACGGCCTACTCTAACTGCAGAGGCGATGGAAATGTTGAGCTCACAGACTTCTGAGCTCCCGCACCAGTTCTTTTTTTTTTTTTAATAATATATTTTATTGATTTTTCTTACAGAGAGGAAGGGAGAGAGATAAAGAGCCAGAAACGTTGATGAGAGAGAAACATAACCAGCTGCCTCCTGCACACCCCCTACTGGGGATGTGCCCACAACCAATGTACATGCCCTTGACCGGAATCGAACCTGGGACCTTTCAGTCCGCAGACCGACGCTCTACCGCTGAGCCAAACTGGTTTCGGCACCAGTTCTTTTTTTAAAATTTTTTTTAAATTTTGTTTGTTTATTTATTTATTTTCCTTTTACATTTTTAAAAAAATATATATTTTATTGATTTTTCACAGAGAGGAAGAGAGAGGGACAGAGAGTTAGAAACATCGATGAGAGAGTCATCGACCAGCTGCCTCTTGCACACACCCTACTGGGGATGTGCCCGCAACCAAGGTACATGCCCTTGACCGGAATCGAACCCGGGACCTTTCAGTCCGCAAGCCGACGCTCTATCCACTGAGCCAAACCGGTGCCGGCCTTTTACATTTTTTATAAAATTATTATCTGTGTACATATTTTAACATTGCCTCCCCCCATACATACCCTCCCTCTCCAGAGTTTTTTGTCCATTGGTTGTACTTATATGCATGTATACAAGTCCTTTGGTTGATCTCTTATCTCCCCCAGATCTCCCTACCCTCCTCGCTGTAATTTGACAGTCTGCTTGTTGTTTTACTGTCTCTATATCTATCTTTTGGTTCATCAGTTTATAATGTTCTTTATTATCCATAAATGAGTGAGGTCATGTGGTGTTTCTTTTTCATTGACTGGCTTATTTCACTCAGCATGATGTTCTCCATTTCCATCAAGGTTGCTGCAAATAATGAGAAGTCCTTCTTTTTTATGGCAGCATAGTATTCCATTGTGTAGATGTACCATAGTTTTTGATCCATTCATCTGCTGGCGGGCAACTAGGCTGTTTCCAAATTCCGCACCAGTTCTTCATGTTGGTCCGAGCCGGATTAGTCTGCGAGGACTGATGCAGAAAGTCTTGAGTGGCTCCCTCTCAGCCATCGTTTTCAGGCTGGGGGCTGTTTCCAGGATCCACACCTTCTCCTTTGGGTCACTTCTGCCCAATCAGGGGGTGTTGTACTTGGAAGGCCCACGTCATTCTCTTTGCCCTTTCGGGGGGACTCTGATAGGCTGCTGGAGTTAGATTCCACCTCTCCCTAGGACAGTGGTTCTTGTCCTTGTCCTCCCCATCCCACCCCTGCACACTCCCCGAGCCTCAGCCAGCTGTCCTGGTTCAGATTCTTCCTGGCTATTAAACCAACAGTCAATTCTTATCGAAGCAGTTGGGATCTAGAACCATCAGGGAGACTAAATGTGGGCACCTATGAAGTCCACAATATTGAAGAGTTCTGGTATGGGGTTGTTTTTGCTGGTATCCAAGGCCATTTTCGTGCTAAAGAGTGGGGTCCACAAAGAAGGAACTGCTGATACACACTGTGTAACCGATGGACCCCAGAAATGTTAGGCTAAGTGAAAGAAGCTAGCCACAGAGACCACATATGTGCAATTCCATGTGTATGAAGTGTCCTGAAAAGGCAAATTTATAGAGAAAGCAAGTACATTAGTGGTTACCTGAGGGTGGGGGTGGAAACCGCGAGTCATTTTCAATGGCATAGGTAGGGGTGGGGTGTCTGATGAGGGGATAGAAATGTTTTAACACTGATTTTTGGTGGTGGCTGCATCATTTAATTAAGCTATTAAAATCCATTGAATTGTACACCTGAAATTGGCAAATTTTATGAGATGTAAAATAAACTTCCTTTTAAAAAAGGGAGAAAGAAAAAAGAATAGGACTTAAACTAGACATGGCAACTTCCAAGTTTTAGATTATAGTTTAATTATACATAAGCTGAGGAATCCTGGATATGGGAGAGGTGTCAGAATTCTAGAGGTGACAGATTCCAGCTTAGATGGTAGAATCAGTTCTTAAGTCATGATCACTTAGGAATTTGTACTTTGACAAGAATTTCTATGATATGTTTCATGATATTCTAGCTAGTGGACAAGACAGAAGAATGTGAACCAGAGCAATTAGGAGGACCCTAATAGTTCTTTGATAATATGGACTTCAAGGGAGGAATATCCCTCCCTCCCTCCCTCTCTCTCTTTCCTTCCTTCTCCTTCTCCTTCCCTCTCCCTTTTCCTGCCCTCCCCTCCCCTCTCTCCCCTTGCTACTTTCCTACCTTCACTCCATTCCTTACCTTCCTTTCTCTTCCAGTCATTCTTTCTCTCTCCCCTTTCCACATTTTAAAAAATACACATATATTTTTTACTGATTTCAGAAAGGAAAGGAGAGGGAGAGAAAGATAGAAATATCTATGATGAGAGAGAATCACTGACTCTACATTGGGGATCGAGCCTGAAACCCGGACACGTGCCCTGACCAAAAATCAAACCATGAACTTCCGATTTATTGGTCGACATTCAACCACTGAGTCACGCCGGCTGGGCCCTTTCTACACTTTTTATACAAGTGAAATAGTATACATAGTTATTGTAGAAAAATAACAAATAGAGAAAGTTTAAAATTATCCATAATACGTACATTATTGACTTTTTCGGCCCAGTGTCCAAAACTTGATCTGGGCACCATTGATTGTCAAGTTTGTGATTGCCCATATCCTGTGCAGAACAGGGATCACACACTCCCTGGGGTATGGATTTTACTCCTGGGCACAAGGCATTGACTGAGATGTGCCATCTGGGCAAGAGCAGTGGCCAAGCTGGGACACGTGCCTTTTGAGGGATAATTGAGGCACCAATGACTTCAATTGTCAAGAGAAATTAGATCTGCTCTGTAGAATTATGAGGAGTGAATAAGAGGCGCAGGTTGGATGTTCCAGGAAGGCAAGATTTGTTGTAATGTAGGAGAGCTCTGTCTAACAGGACAGCCTGAAAATGGACTGGGTCCCCCTTTTCTCTATATCCCTGGAGATACTGTAGCAGGGGCCATAGGCCTGTGTATAAAGGGAATTTATCATAAGGATTTAATTCAGGAACCTTTGAGAAAACCTTATGACTAAGAAGCCATGATCTAGAAATCATGGGTCTGATTACAACAGCCCATGGCAAAGCCAGATGAATTGTTCCATTCATTCTCTTGTTTCTTAGAGCAAAGGAGTAACTATTGAGCCTTCTAATTTCACATTTCCTACACTCAGCTCGCTGGTGAATAAGAGTTCAGCTTTTGACCATCTTTGACATTTAGTTCAGTGAGTGTAGAAGCCTTGTGGGGAGATGATTTTTCTCAGTTGGGGTTTCCTTGTATTTTACACTCTTTGCCACCGTGATGTCTCAGACTTGATCTGGGTAAATGGGATGATTTCAAGTACTATTCATCTCTGTGTATCTTGTTTGTTTTTAATTTGAAGATTATTTTCAACATTTTGTAAGGTGAGCCACACTTACAGTGCTTCTGAATCCTGTGTATGTTAAAAAGTTGAACTTTTCTCCCTGGCCAGGATGGCTGTGCTGGGTGATGTCGTGTGCACTGAAAGGTTGCCGGTTCCATTCCCTGTCAGGGCACATGCCTGGGTTGCAGGCTCGATCCCCGGTAGCGGGCAGGCAGGAGACAGCCGATCTCATTTTCACATAGATGGGGTTTCCCTTCCCCCCCCCACCCCTCTTCCTTCCCCTTTCTCTAAAAATTAATCTTAAAAAAATTGTACTTTTCAGTTGAATAACAAGAATCTAAATTATGTCTTGAACATCCCTTGACCTAGTTTCCGTATTTTGCTATTGATGGTTTGAGAAGTTAAAAAACAAATAGGCCACAGAATCCGTAAGAATATGTGAAAATTGCCCATCTGATGTTAATGTTCCCGAAATACAACTGATTAAATAATAACCAAACCTCTTGTCTGTCAAAGCCTGGCCTGGGCATCAGCCTGGGAGCCTGGTACAAAGGCAGAATCTCAGACTGCACCCTTTGGCTACTGAATCAGAATCTGCTCTTTGATCAGTCAACTTCCGCCGGTGACATGCTGCAGAACCCTTGGGGAATAGTAATTTTTCTCACGTTGAGTTTTGTTTTTTGAGCACCCGTGTACATGCCTCACATTATCATTGGGTCCTTTCACATGCATGAGCCCCTTTCACCCTCAGATTGACCCTCTAAAGAAGGGGTGGTAGCCTTTTTTCCGCCAAGGGCCATGTGGATATCTGTAACATCATTCGTGGCCCATACAAAATTATCAACCTAAAAATTAGCCTGCTCTAACATTTCATTGACTCACCCGTCATGCCTTTGCAGGGCCAGACCAAGTGATTGTACGGGCTTTATGCGGGCCCCGTGCCAGACATTCCCACCCCTCTCTCTAACGAAAGTTGTCAGTGGGGCTGCCAAAGGTGTCACTGAAAGACAGTTTCCGGAGTCGGTGTTCCTAAGCCTGAGACAGGAAAATTGGGGTTCAGCTTGTAATGGCGCGGCCTGGCCGAGCATGACAGCCTCCAGTTGCTCCAGGCCTCCCGTGGGCACACCCTGTGCTTCCTTCCTTGTGGGAGGATGGCAGAGGGAGCGTTTCTCCAGTCTTCTAAAAACCAGGCCCGATAGCTCCCTGCCCACTGCCATTTGGTAATATTTTTTTGTTTGTTAAGTGTCCATCTTCTTTCCTTTTCCTCTACCACTGACATCATACGAATGTGTAATGTATTAAATGCATATGCATTGAAAATATTGTTTTGATTTATTTGTGAATTGTGCCTCCTCGAGGATCTACCAGGGGAAATCAGTAATGTCTCACATCCTCTTCTTCCAGGAAGAATTCTAAATCGTTTCTCCAAAGACATCGGACACATGGATGACTTGCTGCCCCTGACCTTTCTAGATTTCATGCAGGTAACGTAACAGTAACGTCACGTTCTCAGACAGAAGACGGAAAGTTGCTAACTTCTCAAGGCGCTCTCTCGGGGGCTCAGGGTGGGCCCGTGCAGCCCAGCGATGTGTCATGTTATCTTAAGAAAAGGCCATGTTTGTCAAAGCAAGGTGTGGTGACAGTTTGGAGGCTGAGTTAACATGAGTAATGCCTCGTGTGTAGGAGTGGCTACACAGTCATGCCGAGGTTGGTTCAAAGCAGCTACATGCTTGGTAAGTGGTTCTCCACCTGCCTTCCAGGGATCTGGCGCCAGGTCCACTTTACTGCGGGCACATTTCATAATATAGAAACAATCACCTCTCACGGAAAGGTAGCCTAGATTAACTAAATTATGCATTGTATTACCACAAAGGAAAAATATTTACCGCACCGTTTTTTTTTTTTCTTTGTGTGTGTGTGTGTGTGTGGATAAAACCAGGTGTGGTTACTTACAAAGAAAAGATTAGTAATAATGTGAAAATAATACTTTGTTAAGCAAGGACAATAGAGAGCAGTTATTGCAGATGCAAAACCTTTAAAGGCAAGTCCCGATTAAGCCAGTGCTTTGAGTACAGGATCAAAGTCATCTCAGAAAATGTCTTTTTTGTTTTTCTAGGCAGCTTTTCTTTCACACGTAGATTGCTCTAAGTCTTAAGGTGTCTTTTTTTTTTTTTTTTTTTTTTTTTTTTTTAAGGAAAACCAACAATCCCATAGAAATGCCTTCTGTAAAGCATTTGCTTTGTCTGTGAACTTGGGGTTTTAAAGAATAATGCTGGGTCGCCCCATCTTTCATCTCCTCATTCAGTGCTGTTGCTCATGTGGTATGTTTCTTCTGTTGTCTAATTCTGTCAACATGACAGAGATTCAGGCCGGGGGCCTTTCTTCATTTCCAAGAGTTTGTTTTGGAAATGAAATAAAATTAATCAAAGGCTACACCTAATCTACCATCCCCGCTGCTGTAGCTCATACCTCTCAAACCCCTTTTCACTTTTCCTAAGTGCCATTGTACGGTGGTCTAATCAGGAACTAGATTGAAGGCCAGGAAGTAGAAGTGCTACTGTTAGGGTGTGCAATTATGGCTTGATCCTGATAGTCTTTTCCACTTCCCCCTTCCCCCGCCCCCTTCTTGACTCTTCTGGAGCTACTATTCTAAAAGGAGCCAGAATTACTCAATTTGGAAAATCAGCTATGTCAAAAAAGTCAGTTGTAAGCCTGAGATGATTGCAGGCATTCCTGTTAGCGACACAGAAATGCAGCAATGACTATCTGCCTACACACAGTCCACGGGCAAAGGCATCCATCTACTGTTGACCAGCGTGAAGCAAGCTGAGGCTCAGGCAGAGAGCTTCTCCTGCAAACAAAGGTGTCTGATTTCTTTTTCTCTTCTGCATACTTACTTTTAAATGTGAGCTGTTGGGTTTCACTATGAAATATATCTCCAAGAAGCAGTCTTCGACTGACACAGTGCCATGTTTTGACCTGATGGTTTATGACTTTGGGAAGATTCTATGAAAGGTTCCTTTCCTTTGCTACTGTAAGCTAGGCCAAGGTTGAGTTTCCAAAGCTGGCTGCCCGGGCTTAGCACATGGTAGTTAGCTAGAATATGTCATGCACAGGGATAGATGCTACCTGATCTCAGTATAAAACATTGCCATGCCAAAACCGGTTTGGCTCAGTGGATGGAGTGTCGGCCTGCGGACTGAAAGGTCTCAGGTTCGATTCCGGTCAAAGGCATATGCCTTGGTTGCAGGCACATCCCCAGTGGAGAGGAGGGGGGGAGTGCAAGAGGCAGCTGATCCATGATTCTCTCTCATCGATGTTTCTAACTCTCTATCTCTCTTCCTTCCTCTCTGTTAAAAAAAAAAAAAAAATCAATAAAAATATATTTAAAACAACAATAAAAAAAATATTCCCAGCCTGCAGAGAGAAATTGCTAATCTCACTGTGCTTTTCTTTAACCCGAGAAACAAGGGTTTTTTTTTTTTTTTTTCTTTTCTTTCTTTTCTCATTCTTCGCTCTTCTTAATCTTGGCGAATCATATCATTGTTGCATAGCCGTAGTCCCAATTAGCTGATTTCGTGAATCTAATAGCAAAGGTAAATCTCCTTTTTATTGCCTCCAAGAAAGGAGCTTTGTATAAAGGATAACTCAGTTATCAATTATGATAAAGATCTGTTGTCACTGGTTTTGTTTGCAGGTGTCTTTAATAAGGCTTCCCGTAATCCCTTCAGGAAGAAATATTTTCGTCTTTTAAAAACAGTATTTGCTAAATATAAAAGCTCTGATCCCTGCCATTGTTGTTGATTCTTTGCGGGACATTTCCCCACATTCATTGTTTAAATGGTTGTCAGGAGGAATCAAGTGAACCTTCCCAAACAGTGCAGTCACTGGCTCATCTCTCCCCGAGCAGGTCTTTCTCCAGAGGATTTGCATTCAGTGTGTGGGCCTTTGACGGGAGGTATCACAGGCATCATTTTGAAGTATTTGGGCCTGTTACTTTATTAGCAAATGAAGAGTTTTATTAAAGCCACACAAAATGAATTTGGCCTGCTCTCAAACAAAGTCCAACAAAAATCAAAATGTAAATGGATTTTTATTTTTAATTTTTTTTAAAAGTTGGATAGGACTCTAAGGCCCAAAAACAACCCGGTGGTGCGCTGGGACTCTTAATGGAATCATGTAAACTTAAAGTAAACACTATTATGGTAAGCACACAAAATGAAAACTAATTTTCCAAATCAAATACATTATATTCAATTCATTTTTCCCAATCAACCAGATGTTTAAAACCTGTTAGCTATAACAGCCATCTTCTGGAAATTAATTAGAAGCCTATTAGCCCTGCTAGCTGAGCCGAATGAAGAGGGTTGCTCGTTACATTTCTAAGTAGGCTCCTGTATGAAAGCAGAGCAAGGTCAAAATGACAATCAGCTTGACTCACCTCAGGGCTGTGCTTTGGAAGTTGATCTAGTATGTTTGTTTTTTTGAGGGTTGAGGGGGAGGGAGCGTTAGTTTTTAAAGGAAATTTAATCTACTCTGACTCAACTTCTAATAAAATTTTTAAGTTGAAGTCCTACTCAGCTAGGACCATGCAGGTGTCATAAATTTTATCTGCATGAAAAACAGCGCCCTCTCAATTGCATGGGGCTCTGGAACAGACATGACTTTTAGGCCTCGTGTCCAACTCATCAACCCTTCTCACGAGTTTAGTTAGTTTCTTTCAGAACTGGGAGGGGAGAAAATTGCCTGTCTGCCTTTGCTTTCAATGTCATTGGCAAAACCTGTTGCTGACAGCAGAAGGCTCTCAATTTTAATGTTTCTCATCAGATTCTTTGGGTAACCATCCTTATAACCTGCAGCTCTTCCTTTGCCTAGAGAAGCTCACAGAATTTAGTCTTCAGTCTAACAGCTGAGTTAGTTGAAACACAAGTTTAAAAAGAGCTGGGAATTTCCTAGTGAAGAGGTCACCCTGGGTGTTCACTTGTGCAGGAAGTGATCCTTACCTATCTATCCTGTTTCCTCGAAAATAACACAGTTCTTATATTAATTTTTTCTCCCAAAGTTGCGCTAGGTCTTATTTTCAGGGGATGTCTTATCTTTCCATGCGCTAGGTCTTATTTTCGAGGATGTCTTATTTTCGGGGAAACACGGTACATATCTGGTCTAGTATTCGTAAGACAGAATGTGACAGGATTTATAGTAACAAATAGGAAGTAAGCAGAAGAGCTTAGATATCTTCATAAGTAGGCAGTTCAGCTCTCCACTTATCAGAATATTGACACTAACACTGTCTCCTGCTGAATGTTTTTTTTTTTCTTCCTAAAGATATGCATTGGCTCGTGCTCTTCTGAAGAATTAGAACCAAATAGATACAGAACTAATGTAATTGCATTTGCCCGTGTGAGCTTTTTATTTTTATTTTTAAAAATATGTTTTTTATTGATTTCAGAGAGGAAGGAAGAGGGAGAGATAGAAACATCAATGATAAGAGAGAACCATCACTTGGCTTCCTCCTGCACAAACCCCACCAGTGATTGAGCCAGCAACCCGGGCATGTGCCCTTGACCGGAATCGTACCCGGGACTGTTCAGTCCTTAGGCCAACCCTCTATCCACTGAGCCAAACCGGTCAAGGAGAGCTTTTTAATCCAGAATATGCACATTTGATTAGCTTTTCTGTAAGACTGTTGGATGGTGTAAGTAAGTTGAAAAATGTGGACCATTGGGATAGCACTTCATTGTGCTTAGAACTTCTGATGCTGAGGAACTGAGGGGAGAGGCCTGAGGACACATCCTCCAGTTTGCTCATATGGCTGTCGTTGGTGTACTCTGCAGGAGCAAGTCAGAAGTCAGGGACAGGTTTTATAACTCCACTGACTAAATGACTGAGATAAGAAAATTCTGTTTCAAATGTGAACAGATTTGCTGGTCTGATAGAGGTTATTAACATAGCTTTGCTCCTTGGACTTCAACAAAAGATTTGTATTTGTGTGGACATTTGTGGGTTTTGTTTACTTTTTGTGTGTGTGTGTGTTTTATAATTAGCTGTTAATCTACATGCTAATAAGATACAGTGACACAGCTAATTTTGAAATCATGTGTCTTTTATTCTTTCTGCATTCAGTGAGGAGTCAGCAGGAACAGTGGGGCTAATGTGTGGGATTTTGCAACTGAATGGACACATTTATGGTAAAAGAAAAAAATTTTGACCTACGAAGCTTTTTGGAAGGGGAGGCCAGAAGTGAAGGAATTTTTTTTAACATATAGGAAAGAAATAATTTATGCAATACAAAACAGCAACAGTCTGCAGGTTACCTCAGGGTTGCCCTGGGCTTATCAGATAAGTTAGCTGATAACTGGCAGTAGAGATCTGGCTTATCAAAGTGTTGTTCAAACACGTTTTGTTTGTTTGCTCTTTCAAAAATCATAACAGCTTTGAGTATTAACAGTATTTTAAAAACCAAGTCATTTAAGCAAGAACATAG